ATAGCATAGTATAGTATAGTATAGCATAGTATAGTATAGTATAGCATAGCATAGTATAGTATAGTATAGTATAGCATAGCATAGTATAGTATAGTATAGTATAGTATAGTATAGCATAGTATAGTATAGTATAGTATAGCATAGCATAGCATAGCATAGCATAGCATAGCATAGTATAGTATAGCATAGTATAGCATAGTATAGCATAGTATAGTATAGCATAGTATAGTATATTATAGTATAGTATAATATAGTATAGTATAGTATAGCATAACATAGCATAGTATAGTACAGTATAGCATAGCATAGCATAGTATAGTATAGTATAGTATAGCATAGCATAGCATAGTATAGCATAGCATAGCATAGCATAGTATAGTATAGTATAGCATAGCATAGCATAGCATAGCATAGCATAGTATAGTATAGTATAGAATTTACACTTACTGTACTATATATATTTTTGTGTTGCTAGTACTTGGTTAATGTGACACTTTTGAAGTTATCTGTAAACAAAACACTAAAGTGACTACATGCTTTGTTGTACCTAGCTCAGTTAGCCACAGGGCCACAGAACCGTAGATTTCATCCAGAATCAGGATCACCACAAGGTTGATGATGACTGCAGTAGCCGTTACCGTCACACGAAGGTTGGACTTGGTCTCGGGATCGGGGCTCATCGCCATCAGGGCTGAAATTGTGATGCGGTAAATGATCACACCAAAAACCGCAGAAAATGTCAGTCCAAACTGGAAGCAAAGAAAGCAAACACAGGGAACATAAGTCAGCCACACTGACCAGAAAGTGACATCACTGTATTATTTGAAAGACTAAATAAATGTAGGTCACTCCCATACTGATTTATGCACATTGACAGTTTGTATTTTTTTTTTTTTTATTCAAACAACTCCCATCCTTGGATGCTGAGAAAGCATTTAGTGCAGCACTAATCTGATTTTTGTACTTGCCATAAAAAGAATAGAGGAAACATTCATGAGGTATCCAGGTAGACGGTCTTTCCAGGTCAACTTATCTTCGCCAGCCTGAGAGAAACAGCAACAGGAAAACAATGAGGGGAAAAAGAACGACGAGGAATCTGTGTTTGATCTTTGACGGAATAATTGTTGAAAAAAAATGACAAATTTCTGCAGGAAAACCTTTAAAAACAATAAGTGGATTTTTTTGTTGTTGTTAAATAAGTACAGTAAACCTTAAATATCTGGAAAGTGGCGTGGACAAAATTCGAACCAAGAAGTTTCCATCCAAACATATTTGACTCTGTTTCCTTCAGCATTAATGATTGGAAACATACATGGACCCACACACACGCAGGCACAGAGACGGAGGAGGTGCAGCTTAAAGCTGACGGTGCAACTCCACCATCTAGTGAATATGTTGATGCTGTACAACCAACTTTACAAGCCGACTAGATTTCACCATGCATCAATTTAATGACATGGTTAAAAAAAACAACAGTCAAATTCAATGTTTGGGCATAAATTCACAGATCATTCTTGCAAAACTTTAAGTGAGTATGTTCATACATATTTATGCACCAGAATTCCTGCTATATTAAAGAGAAATGGGATTATCCGTGAAATATAATCTCCCCCAGACAAGACCTCTTTCATTAGCTGCAATTACGACATTATATTTAGCATAATACAACTTTGGCAGGAATCTGGTAGTCTCATCAGTTGAAAGAGCATTATTTCTGGAAAATACGAAGATGTCTATAAGCATGCTATACAAGGTATTATCCTCTTTACACACACTGGGAGCGTGAATTGTCAGTGCGTATCAATGATGAAGATTGGAGTAAGATTTGGAAATATGCTAAATCCATCTCTGTGTGCAACAGAATGAAATCAATACAACTTCAAATCCGATGCATATTTCTCCAAAGCGCAGACACTATTTTGGTTCTGATCTCTCTCCCATGTGTCTTAAGTGCAAAACAGAAATTGGGACTTTGACAAATTGTTTTTGGTCGTGTTTGTCGTTGCAAAAAAAAATATATTGGTCTGATGTAATTTGTGAGATACGGAAAATATTAGGAATATCTGTACAAATGAATCCTTTGTGTTTACTTTTAGGGCTGCTGGATAAAAATGTTATCTCAAATGATAAAAAAAAACTATATCGCATACTTACGTTGGCGGCAAGGAAAAATATTTTGATACAATGTACTAGTGCGAGAAGACTTACTGTTAAAGGCTGGCAAAGGATACTACAGGACTTAGTACCATTAGAGTATTTGACATGCGTTTTGCACTACAAGACAGACTTTTTCCTCAAGGTATGGGAGCCATATTTGGATTATGTTGAAGCTGAAATCTCAGCTATTATGCTGCAAGGATTTTTTTAGCGTAATATATTGTGTGTTTTTTTCTTCTTCCCCTTCATTCTAATGTGTTTTATGTGGTACATTGGGTCTGAGCTGTTATGTTGTTGTTTGAGCTATGCTGTGTTGTAAAGCTTTAAAATATTCAATACATAATTAAAAAATGAGATATGGAGTTAAATGTTTCTCTAGAAGATCAAGTATGGGGACAACCTGTGGAAAGACAGCCATAGAGGGATTAACAGTCAATTATGGAAATAATTGGACTGGAAATAAAAAATGAGGTATTTTCACGCCCCTCTTAACATTTCTAACTTTGTAAAAGTTCCCTCGATCGCATGCTGCTGGAGAAAATGCAGGAAAATAGGTGACCATACACACATTCTGTGATTGTCCTGTGATCCAAACATACTGGAGGGATAACAAGGTGGAGCTTGAGAACATTCTGGGGATGGAGGCGCCATCTGTTACTCATTGGGGGTTATGTTAAATGCGGATTTCAATGCAAATTAAATATATATAATACGTGTTTTATTATTGGTGTCAAAAACACTAATTACAGTAAATTGGAATGACTTGAAACCCTGACAATAATTGGAATGGAAACGGAGGGTCAAGCAAGTATATGCAGTATTATGGAAAAGTTGACCTCTGTCCTTCAAATGACCTCTGCTCTTTTTGACCAAAGGTGGCGCTGTGTTGAAATATATGTAGCAACTTGATAAAGTGGATTGCTGTAACTTTCAGAAAATTTTGTCCTGAAGTTTTGCAGCTTTTTTATATTTATTATGACTATATTTTTTTTTGTTGAAAAGTTGTATATAGACTCTGCTTTTTTTGTTTTTATTTTATTTTATTTTTTTAAATTCACAGTTTTAGACATATTAATATAGTATTTAATGAAGGTGGAGAATGTTCGATTATGTAAAAAACTCTAAATAAAATGTAAAAAAAAATAGTCTTATTTATCCTGATGCCCTCTAATTTCAGAACAGCTGCATCACTTAGTGTTTTTAATACAGTTTGTAATGTTACAAAAATTAACTTTACGTTAAAACTGACCAAGATTTATTTTTATTAGCGCAGCTGAGTCAGTTGTTGCTGTGATAAAAAAAAAAAAAGACTTTTTGTAAAATTGTTTGAAAAACTATTGTTTTAAGAATCAAACATCTGACGAAGTATTCGAGCTGTAAATTACACACAAAATGCTCAGAACGCACACTCAGGGTGGAAAACGTGAGCGAGTGGAACACTAAAAGACAAGGTTAAAGTCTGAGTGTGTGGTGGGCACAGCCATCAGCAGGGGAGGCTGTAAATGGGTCACCTGTTATATTTGGCTTATAAAGCCCACTAAGGAATGTCCAACAAAATCTCATGACAGAAAATCTGAGGTTTTTTTCTTGTTGCCGCTGTCTTCGTTTCTGTCCTCTGTCTCTATGATGAAAGCAGAGCCAGCAGTACATCATAATCTTGTTTTTCTACAACAAAATGATATTTTTTCATAAATAAGTAATTATACGTAATCCAAAAATAATTATAGCCTTTAAATGAGCACATAAATTGGGAAACTACTTGGTGATATTGGCCTGGTGTCATGATATGTATTTGGATCTATGATTAGAAAAAAATAATCCCATTATACAAGGGTGTGTCCAGTATCATACACTATAAAACATTTGGTGCCTGTTAATCTGAGCGTTGAAACTTGCATTGTGCTAAATGTAAGCAGAGGGCTGCACACAAATATAAAAGCAAAAGTTCCTAAATTTAATTTGAGATATTTTTAAGAGTAAATATGGAATGTATAGAAAAGATCTATAATAATAGAACTATTATCAACTGTCATCAAGCAAAATAAGTTTTCACATAATGCTGATGAACATTCTCTGTCATCCAGGATTGAGAAGTTTGATAATCTTCTATATTGCTGTTAACTTTGCTTTACATGGTAATTCTAGCAGAAATAATCTGATATTCCTGCCAGAAGTGTCCCAGGCTGCACTGAAACCATCACAGCTGCTGCTAGTTGTACAGATCTAAACTACTTAGAACAGGCATGGGCAAACCCCGGCCCGCGGGCCACATACGACCTCTTGGGCTTTTTATTTGGCCTGCCGAAATTTGGACAATATAAAAAAATATATATATTTTTTAATTATTATTATTTTTATTTTTTTTATACTTTATTTTTCAGGGGTGCTGAGGTAAAATTTAGGCAAAAAGAGGTTAAAATTGCCACTGGTTCAAATTATATTTAAAAAAACTGAATTTAATAGGAAAAAAAAAACTGGTGTCGTTTTACCTGTAGTTCCAGTATTTCCCCAGTAGAGGCGCACTACAGACACTGGCGTGGATTACAGGCAAATTAACAGTGGAGAAGAAGTAATTTCTTCTACGCTTTTATTTTTACTTTGCCCTACGAACTTGTCTGTAAAAACGTGTTTATCAAAGAAAAGAAAAGTGTACAGTGAGTGCCGAGTGTTTAAAATGGCGTGGACAACAACATATTGTTTCACTGAGGTCCAATCAAAGGAAGTTTTTATGCCAAGAAACTGTTGCGGTTTTCAAAGAGTACACTTGCTAACTATGCTAGCAAGCTAAATAAGTTAAATCTGGTCCTCTGGACATTCAAAAAACAAAAAAAATGTAGAAACGTTTCGTCTCTCATCCAAGAGACTTCCTCAGTCTGAGGTGCTGTTTTCAGCTCAGTCTCTTAAATAGCACCTTCTCAGAGTGGATCAACCAGTTTGCTGCTGACAACCAAAACCAGCTGATCACATGCTCAAGAAGGACCATCAGCCTAACAATGGATCATTAGCACACTGATGGCTGTTTACTGTTCACAGAGGGCTGAGTGATACTAGCAATCACAGCATTGTAAGAGGGGGACAGTTGAACCCGGAGGCCTCCACCCCTGTTTAATGATGGACGGTTTCTTTCCACAAAGATGGCCTCCTTTACTCCTCTCAAACCATCGTTCCTCTCTGTCCAGGATGTGAACATCTTCATCCCTGAAAGAGTGACCGCTGGCCTGGAGATGAGTGTAGACCGCAGAGTCCTGGCCTGATGATGTTGATCTTCTGTGCTGGGCCATCCTTTTTTGTTGTTGTTGTTTTGCTTTGATTTGTTTTTTGAATGTCCAGAGGACCAGATTTCACTTTTGTAGATTTTTCTACCTGGATTATTGAGCATGCATCAGGATATGCTAGCAAGACTTTCTCCGATGGCGATTTTTAAAAAGAAACCTGTTAAAAACAGAGCAGGTCTGTTGTGTCCGGAGGGCCAAGACAAGTTAGAAAAATCGGTTTATCACGCAGGACTGTGACTCGCCTTGTGGAACTGATTGATGAAGATTTAGTAAAATAAGCTAAAAGGCAGAGAGAGTCCTTTAAGTTACGGTTTACTGGATGAAACTAATAAAGGACACTTCTCATCTCCTATTTTTTAATCTGTGGGATTAACAACAGTTTTGAGATAATGGAGGTGTTTTTGACCCTGGAGTCTCTGAAAGGAAAAACACGGAGAGAGGATTTTTATAACGGTCTGCTGTCATGAGAGAATGAAGCTTCTGAGGAGTAAACTTCAGTGTCACAACGGACGGATCAACAAGTTTAAGTGGAAAACATGTCGGGCTGCTGACAAGAATCCAGGAGAAAGTGAAAGGAAAACCTCGACCAGGATGTTATTTTTCTTCACTGC